ATAAATATCGGGTAAAATATGGAAGACGTGTCAAATAGCATAGAGAGTATGGTGTTCAAAGTATAGGGCATGCGGGGCACTATACGTGTGAGAAAAGAGAAACGAGTGTGCATATATGCGCGATAAATGGCGGAAAATAATAGTGTTCGTAACAGCGTGTGAGCAGTGCCTTTGTGGTCATGAATGCCGCAAGCATGACTCATCGGTATCGCAGGCCGCATAGGAGTGTCCAAGACGATGTATATGAGGGTCACTTCATACCCAAGGGCACCATTGTCATCGCCAATATCTGGGAACTCAATCGTGAACCTGAGCTCTTCGGTACTGATGTCAACCGCTTCAATCCCGCTCGTTACCTGGATGAGAAAGGTGCTTTGAAGGCGGACTTTGCGGAGGCGAAGGACGAGTATCACTTCACATTTGGTCTGTGCAAGTCTTGCTTCTTCTGATCGGAGTGCTGACATACATGTCGTAGGGTTTGGACGACGGTGCGTAGCTTGGCCTTCCCATTCGAAGTTATGCATAGGCTCAGTACCATCAAACAGGAGCTGCGTCGGCAAGCACGTGGCGGTGAATACTCTGTTCATCGAGATCGCGACTTGCCTATGGGCCTGCTCTATCTCTAACGTCAAAGGGCAAAAGTTCAACGTGGACGGATTCTTTGAAGCCGGCCTTACGCTGTGAGTGCTATACTCCTCTGTTTGTTCGCCGTTCAACGCTGATCCGATCTCGTCAGTCGTCCCGAGCCCTTCGAAGTTGACGTACAGGAACGTTTCCCAGACGCGTTAGCTCTTCTATCGCAGGAGTGCGAGCTTCGTGGTGTTTAGTCGGAAGTCCTGCAAGACTGTCGAGTTGTATGCGCTGTGCTTCAGCTTGAGATCTTAGTCTCGCGCAGGCTTAGAGATCTATGTCCACTGGGTAGTAGGCAGTCAAAGTCACTTGAAGTCTTAGGATAGATAATGCAATGGAATGGTTTGTACTGACTGACTCAAATATATGCTGCTGTCGACGTTCCCGCTCGCCCAGATCATGTCGGGAAGTAGCCCTTCTACATTCCGGCTCGGGGCCCGCCCCGAATGATAATCAGAGCCGCATTCTTCGTTGCCTCGCGCCCAGTTTTCCACGGCGTTCTGGGAGTTCTACGAGTACGACCCCAATAGTCATAGAGAACTTCTCGCCTATTTCTTACTATACGAAAGGCGCCTTGAGAACGAGTTCCCCAGTCTATCAGAATGAGGAGCCTCGGCCATTGCCGGTCCTGGGAGAATCGAGCGCCGCGCGTCTGTTTCCACCACCATCATGTACATGAACCTTCCCTGCTATGCGCCATACTTAGGTGGCAGCGTGATCTCCCACATACTACGGTCACCTCGAGGCTGGGACAGGACGCCGTGCCTAGACCTGTCGAAGCGGTCCACCCATGAAGCATCGTGAGGAGATGTCGAGTGATACTGCCACGTACTGGAAAGCGGCGAAGCAGAGAAGCACCGGCGGCCACCGAGTGCATGACGTTTGAGCTTGTATCGACGCGGTCCCCCTTTGTGAAGTTTCGAAGATGGGCCGAAAGGAAGATGACAAGGATTCTTTTCCTTGACCTTGTGCGGCGAAAATATTGTTCGTCTGATCCTACAATATCCTGATATTCCGCCTCGTTAACATGAACTTTTAGGAACGTACCGCGGTGCTGCGCTGACCCAGCGAAGCTCTATGATTCGTTCAGGCTCGGCTTCTTGGTGCCCGGGGTGTACCGGTCCACCGAAGCCGCCGGATGAGTTCTTGCGATCAGACGAAACTCATATTTGCCATCCGATCCGCGGCGTGCAAGGTGCACGTCTGACTTTGGTCGATCTCATAATGGCGCACGAGGACTTGAGAAGTAGATATAGTCGCCGTTATCATGCTGGCCGGCCCCAACTCCCTCAGCGTCACCATCTCGCCTTTGCAACAATGATATCCAGGTTCTCGTTCCCGGACTTCGGTCAACTTCCTCTCTACGACGAACTCCTGGAGACCTTGAGCGAGCATACAGTACTGGCTGTCGGTCTTTCTGCAGGGATCTCCCTCATCCTTACCGTGCGATATCTCAACAGTCCTTGGCGCAAACTCCCTCCAGGGCCACCAGGAATGCCGATCCTCGGCAATGCACTGCAGTTAATGGGTGATCAGTGGCTTCAGTTCAGCGCTTGGAGGCAAGAGTACGGTATGCACTCTGTTCTTCTGCTTGCTTTCAATAAGATGTTGATGGTTAGAATAGGTGATATCATGTATCTGAACGCGATGGGACAGCCCATGATCGTCCTGAGCAATCCTGCCATCACGGCCGAGTTGCTCGAGCGCCGTGCCAGCATATATTCGGATCGCCCGACGTTGATCGTCACGCACGAGATTCTGTGCGGTGGGCTCATGCTTCCTACGTGCCGTTATGATGAAACGTACGCAACTTTGTAATCGAGAAACAGGCCGATCACTCAAGAGCCATCATCTGGAGTTTCCTCTCCTCCTAAACCGCGCCAATAATCGCTAATTGGCACCAATTGGCACTTTAGCAGATTCGGAAGGTCCCGACCATTGTACGCGAATTTGCGGCCAGATTATCG